TTTTGGGGGTGGTGGTTGCAGGAGACTGGACGCCACTGACGTCACGGTCCAGCAGCACGGTGGTCCGTGGACAGCACGTGCCTACCATGTGTGACCCGCAGCTGATGGGCAGGCCGATGGCGTGTCCCTTTGCAGGGTGGCTGGCTTGGCGGTGCCGCTGAAAAGGCAGCAGCTGGGGGCTAAGCTTTAGCACCGGCCGGAGGCAGAAGCGTCTAGTCGTGGTGTGTCTGCGCGCGCGGCGCGCTGCGGAGCGCCGGCGCCGGCGGCGCGAGCGGTTCTGTCTCGCTGTTCGTCCGCTGTTCTTTGTGTTGTGTTGTTTTGGCCGGGCTGCGTGAGTGGCCGGGCTCGTGGGCGGCCCCGGCTGGCCGGCGGGGCGGGGGGCGGGGGCTGGCTTTGCAAAGATTCTCCAGGGTTTCCGCTCCCTCTGGCCGCGTGGGCCTGAAACCCAACCCAGACCTCTACGCACAGACCCACATCCAGCTCAAGGCCGGAACAGAGAAAGAGCTCAACAGATGCTCCATTAATGAGATGAGATGAATGAATGAATGATGAATTAGAGGGGAGGAGGAAGGGCTGGACCACAGGCGCCATGCCTGTGTTCCCTGGAGCTGAGTACCTGGCAGAGATGACAGAGAGGAAGGCCGCTTGTCCTGGCGGAGGCCACGTGGTTTTGACCCGTTGTCTATGATCAATGCAGCCTGTGGGAGACAGCAGGGCCCAGCTCCCACGGTGGCCCCGGCGTCCTCCCGCACCAGCCTCCCTGCTCATCTCCAGTGCTCGGGAGACCAGCCCCCTCAGGCTGCGGTTACACAAAGGGGAGGGTTCATGGTGAGGAGGCGAGAAACTGCCTCATCCCACCTTGCGTCGGACCAATCGGACTATCTGACCTCTCAGAGGTGCAGACGAGGAACTGAGGTCTAGAGAGAGAGGCGGAGGACATTGCTCAAGGCACACGCGCAATGTCCACACCAGGACTGGCACTGCTTTGGGCAGTTATTAGCCCAGGCTCCAAGTCAAGCACGTTCTTGGAAGTCTGTCGGCAACGCTGACCCAGGCTCCTCTTGGCCTCGGGCAGGGTCGGTGGCGTCGCTCAGCGCCTGCCCGACTCGAGGAGACAACCCGGCTCTCCCTCTGGGCTCCGTGAGGTGCCCACTCTGCCCACGCCAGGGTCGGGGCAGTCGAGGCCCCGGCGCTGCCCACCAAGGCGCCGTTCAGTTTTCCTTCCTCCTTCCTGGAGTGAGACGCAGGTGCCCGGCACCACTCTGCATGAGCTGTGATTTGGGCAGTCCTTCGCCTCTCCAGCCTCAGGACGTGCATCTGCAAAGTGGGCCAACCGCAGCCGTTGTCGAGGGCAGCCGTGGGGTGGAAGAAGACACCCAGGACGACGGGCCGGAGCAGGACCTTCTGCGTCGTGGCGGATCAAGGTTCATCCGGGTGTAGGCCCAGAGAAGGGCTCCTCGGCCCCCCGGGGTGGGCTGGGGCGCGCTGAACGCCGGACCGGCGTGACTCGAATGGCCCTCGTAGTACCTCTCCCCTGTCCGCTGCCTCCCTTCGGTCAGCTCGGCTGCGCGAGCCGCCCGGGCGCTGGGCGTTGCAGGGGGAGATGAACGTACTCTTTCCTAGTTTAAGAAGCTGAAAGTTAGTGGTAGGTTATGTGCGGATAACGGCCGTCGTGGGGCCGCTACGGTCCGGTGATTAAAAAGGCTGCCTGCTAGAGCAGACCAAAAGGACTGAGTGGGTGAGCAAGCGGGCGCCGGATTGGGGTCTGGCAGCACGATAAACTTGTTCTGTGATTGCTGGTTGAGTAAGGTCGGAGGTGCTGCGGTTTGCCGCGCTTGTGTGTGGGTGAGTTGTCAGAGCGTGGCGGTCGGAAGAGTTCAACGGCGTTGGGGGTGGGGGCACCGGCCGCTGATGGGGTTGCAGCGCGAAGAATGCTTGGAGTCGCGCTTGGATTGTTGTTGGTATTTGTGAGTCATGTTGTCTTCTCTTGTTTTGCTATATCGGTGCTGTGTGTGTATCTTATGTGTGTGCTGAGAGCAACGCTGGTGTTGAGTAGGATCCCGTATGAGGTGTAATTTACGCATGCGTGCCGAACCTGGGTGGGGTACGATACTAGGAACATAACTTTATCTTTTAGTGTGTTTAAATGTTGTTTTTTGGTCGATGTGTTGTGTGTATGTTTGTTTCTTGTGTTTGGTTTTTGTTATTGTTTGTTGTAAATGTTTTCTGTGTCGCGCAGGCAGTGTCTGCACCCGGTAGTTGGAGTGTGTTCTGTCGTTTTGGTGGTAATCCTCACGGGTATGTCTTGTGTTGCGTGTGTGTAAATTCGCTCTCTCTCTCTCTGGTGTGGTGTGTGTAGACTGTGTTTGTTGGTAGATGACAGATGGTGGTGGTGAGATGGTGGGTTGTGCAGTGAGTTTGTGTTGTCTGTGTTTGGGCTGTGATATCGCTCTAAATTATGGGTTCTCACAGTGTGCTTATCGGTGCGGTGTGTAGAAGAACAGGGAATTTATATATATGGTCTGGTGTGTTGTGTTTGGATGTGTGTATGCATGGTAGCCCCTCTACATGGTTTCTACCTGCTGTTGATCCCAGGATGTGTCGACTGTGACTTGTGTGTGTGTTGTTGTGGCCCTAACGGGGTGGTAACGACTGTGACTTGTGGGATCTCCCGGCAGGTAACCGTCCAGAGGGCGCCCTTGCAGACCCGGACCTGGACGACTGTTGATCGTGGGGTCTCTGGCAGTACAGCCATACCACCGGGGTCCACCGGACACCTGGACCTGAGATGACTGTCAGGGTGTCCCTTGCCCTTCATTCTGCAGATCGGGGGCTGGACCTGAGATGGCACACCTTGCCGCATGTTTTAGGCCCTGTCTGAGGTCAGGAGCATGGGGTGGGGCAGGCTGTGTAGACAGGTGCTGTGCTTGCTGTCCTGCCACCCTAGCTGGGTGCCCGCTGGGCGCGTGAGCTGACCCTGCCTCTGTTTCCTCCCCCGCAGGTGAGGACGGAGAGTACCCATGCCACAGGGTTGACGCAAGGATCACGAGTCTGTGCTGCTCAGACAGCGGATGCCGGCCAGGCTGCAGACCCAGCTGAAGCTATTTCACGCTACAGTGAGCTTTGTATACCGAGTGCTCGGCACGTGTGAGCGGGGCCGCCGGCACTGTTGCACGACAGAGCCGTCTTAAACGGTCCCCCCAGCCCGTGTCTTCCTGCTCCCCAGCTCCAGCCGGCTGCGTGGCTGTGGCGGACGTGGCTCACCGGACAGACGCGCTGTTCGGTTCGCCTCGGCCGTCACCGCGCCCTGCCCGTCTCTGCTCACCTCGGACCACCCGGCCGCCCCGAGCCACGTTCGATCGCGGTTGTGTGTGTTGGGCGTGGCCCATCCACGCCCACCGAACTGTGACACGGCTGCGCGCCCCGCCGGGGGCGGCCGGCGAGACCAAGACGACTCACCGGGCGTGTCCGTCCTGAGCCCTCGCCCTCCCCCAGTGTCGCACATACAGCTGAAGCACCTGCTCCGCCGCGGCCAACTGCGAGATGCTGGGAATTGATGGGCCCGACCGGATCCTGCCCGGGGGACGCGGGTGTGCCACCGTACCGCGTTGCACTATCCCACGCTCCTCAATGACAGGGAGCCCCGGGGACGGCACTGTGGCGCAGTCCCAGCGGTGTAGGCGCCACACGGGAGTCTCCTGCCTCTTCTCACTGCTCCTCCCGGTCTCGCTGCTCCCTTCGCTCTGCTCTCCTGGTCTCCTGTCTCTCCTGTCTCCCTGTCCTCTCCCTGTCTCGCCGTGTCTCCTGTCTCTCTTGCTCCGTATCTCGTCCCTGTCGTCCCTGCTCTCTGTTGTCTCCTCCCTGGTCTCTCGTGTCTCTCCGGTACTTCTCTCCTCTCTCTGTTTCTCGCCTCTCATCTCCCATGTCTTTCGTTCTCCGTCTCTGTCCTCCCTCGTGTCTGTCTCCATCTCCCTGCCATCTGTCCTCTGTCTCTCTCTGCCTTCCAGCTCTCCCTGTCCCTCGTCCTGTCTCCTGCTCCTCTCGCTCTCCCATTCCTGTCTCCTCTATCTCCCCTCTCTCTCTCTCGGTCATCTTAGCGCTCTGGCAGCTTCCTGGCACCTCTTCGGTACTTGGTTTTC